ACCGAATCCAGGGCAGTTCGGCTCATCACTAGTTGTGAACGAAATGAAGAAATCGTCTTGATCTAACAAGTGTCGTCCAATGCAGTGTTGAATACGTCAGAATATTCACTAAGGATAGTTGGCTTCAGAAACCTGCTACTCCTCTCTACCAATCCCTCCACTGGCCTCCATTCAGTGTCCTCCACCCCTCTCTGCCAGTCCCTCCACTGGCCTCCATTCAGTGTCCTCCACCCCTCTGCCAATCCCTCCACTGGCTGCCATTCAGTTTCCCCCACCCCTCTCTGCCAATCCCTCCACTGGCCTCCATTCAGTGTCCTCCACCCCTCTCTGCCAATCCCTCCATTGGCCTCCATTCAGTGTCCTCCACCCCTCTGCCAATCCCTCCACTGGCCTCCATTCAGTGTCCTCCAACCCTCTCTGCCAATCCCTCCACTGGTCTCCATTCAGTGTCCTCCATCCCTCTCTGCCAATCCCTTCACTGGTCTCCATTCAGTGTCCTCCACCCCTCTCTGCCAATCCCTCCACTGACCTCCATTCAGTGTCCTCCACGCTCTCTGCCAATCCCACCACTGGTCTCCATTCAGTGTCCTCCATCCCTCTCTGCCAATCCCTTCACTGGCTTGCACTAGTCCAATGTATATAATTCAAAATACTAATCACAACGTACAAAGCCATCCGCAACACTGCCCCTAGCTACATCACAAACCTCATCTAAATATATCGTCCAAATCATCCTCTCTGCTCCTCCTAAAACCTCCTGGTCTCCAGATCCCTTGTAACCTCCTCCCGCACTCACTTTCAGGACTTCTCCAGAACCTCTCCCCTCTGCTGGAACTCCCTATCCCAGTATTTCCGGTCAGCTCCCACCCTGTCCGTTTTTAAGTGATCTTTGTAAACTAATTTATATAGGGAGGCCTAGCCCACCTCCACCTAAAAACTGTACTTGAATCAGGTCCATCAAATCATCCCCTGCAGCTGTTACCTTTTATACCCCCCACCCACCCCTTTAGATAGCAGGCTCCATGAACAGGGCACTCCTATTCCTTCTCTGCATTGTAACTGTACGGTCTCCCTTTATATTGTAAAGTGCTGCGTAAACTGTTGCCACTATATAAATCCTGTGATAATAATAATTCTGCCTGAACCCGGAGGAAACTGTCACATGATAGGAGACCGCCTGCCCAATCATCTGCAGCAGGAATTCCCACCCCACAAGGACAGGGATGCTGGTGACATCATGGACCTTATATGCCCATATGCCATATTAGGCCCCCAAATATCCAGCTCTTCCCCCTACATGAATGAGTAGGGGGTATACATTACTTGGACCCCTTACACACCAGGAATTTAGTCCATGTGCACCCGTTCCTGGTATTTTAGTGCACCACGGGTGCAAAGTGAAAACTACAAGCATGTCAAAGTCTATGGCAGGATGAAATCATGGACCTTATATGTCCATATGCCATATTAGGCCCCCAGATATCCAGCCCTTCCCCCTACATGAATGGGTATGGGGAATACACTACTTGGACCCCTTACACACCAGGAATTTAGTCCATGTGCACCCGATCCTGGTGCAAAGTGGAGGCTACAAGCATGTCAAAGTCTATGGCAGGATGAAATATGAGGGTCTGAACGCCATTTCATTTAGCGCTTTCTGCGCGCAAGGACCTATGGAGAAGTAGGGTAGCTGACGCCATGCTTTCCACCTCAACTAATCAAGAGGAAGCCTTGAATTCGTTGATACGTTTCTCCTGAAAGGTGAAGGCCTGAAATCCTACTTTAAAAAGGTGTTTCTAAAAAAATAGGATAGACATTGTCCCCCTGATGTGAGTGATTGTGGAAAGTAACCAAACAACCAGGCAGTGAATTTCTAAAAGAGCAAAAAGGTTTATTAATATCATTTGAGAAATGAGAGAGATAATGAGTTTGCAGACTTTCCCCACAGAATGGCGTCAGACGTCAACCACGTCTTCTAGGAACTGAACCTTCAAAGTCAACCATGATGAGCAATGCCCTGAAGACTCGCGGACTGAGCTGAGCCATGGGAACACAGCCCCTTCCATCTTTTTTTCTTTGTGTTCCGCAGGCATGGTGGACACGAGTGATACCATGGCACGCAAGTGTTGGGAACATTCACCAATGGGTTGGAGTTTTGAGAAAGCCAGTAATGTGACTGAAACACTGGCATTGCCCACTGATACATGTGAAATTCCCGGGTATTCTGATCACGTGCTTCACTGACCCGCCCATGTTCACACTATGGGATGGTTCTAGGGGATGCAGTTCCTCTGAGATCCACAAGGTGAGGATCCCACTTCTACCCAGACAGGAAGTCTCTATGGTAGACAGGAAGTGATATCAGGTCTAAGAAGGAAGTTCCGGATGAGAGATGAGTCGGGAGGAAGTAGAGAGGAGACATTGGTGGAAGTGGCAGCAGAGGAGGTAATAGGATCTAATTTTCTATTTACACCCAGTAACCCCCCCCGTCACGTCCGTCCTCTTCCTCCTTCGTCACGTCCGTCCTCTTCCTCCTTCGTCACGTCCGTCCTCTTCCTCCATCGTCGTGTCTGTCCTCTTCCTCCATCGTCGTGCCCGTTCTCCCTCCATCATCGTGTCCGTCTTTTTCCTCCACCATCATGTCTGCCCCGTCTCGTCCGTCCTCTTCCTCCACCGTCTCGTCCGTCCTCTTCCTCCACCGTCATGTCCGCCCTCTTCCTCCACCGTCATGTCCGCCCTCTTCCTCCACCGTCATGTCCGCCTTGTTCCTCCACCGTCACACCCGTCCTCGACCGTCACACCCGTCCTCTTCCTCCACCGTCACATCCATCCTCTTCCTCCACCGTCACGTCCATCCTCTTCCTCCACCTTCACGTCCATCCTCTTCCTCCACCTTCACGTCCATCCTCTTCCTCCACCTTCACGTCCATCCTCTTCCCCCATCGTCACGTCCGTCCTCTTCCTCCGCCGTCACGTCCATCCTCACGTCTCCTCTTCCTCCGCCGTCACGTCCATCCTCTTCCTCCGCTGTCACGTCCGTCCACTTCCTCTACCGTGACGTCCGTCCTCTTCCTCCACCGTCATGTCCCTCCTCTTCCTCCATAGTCACTGTGATGTCTTTTATCTCCAGCAGATGATGATACACACATATATAGCGTGGGAATCCAGATTAACCCCTTCAGGGGCAGAACATTCCCCCACTTCCAGGGCCAGAACATTCTCCTCATTGTGGAGATGTTACCTTTTTACCATAGCAGTATTGTACAAAAAATACTGTCCAGATAATTATTTTCTATCCATCTACAGAGAAACCAGCATAGATCACATGAACACATTAATGAGGATGAAGGAGGACCGGAGTCACATGACTGAGAGGATACTAAACCTCACCCTGGAGATCATCTACCTGCTGACCGGAGAGGTGAGGATTTTGGGAGGTCACATGACATCACTCTCATCTCTAATAATAAAACCCAGACCTGACCGGAGAGGTGAGGAGGATTCTGGGAGTCTAACATGATGTTCCTATTGGTTCCTCAATACAGAGATTTCCTCTTCTGAAGTCAGGTGATCATATGACCATCACAGTGCCTCCATGTGACTCCCTAAACCCTGAGAGACACAACATGCAGAAGATTCTAGAAGTCACCAAGAAGATGATGGAGTTGCTGACAGGAGAGGTGAGCGGTGCCGGGAATTCTGGGACATTCTCCAGTAACAGACAAGGGATGTGTCTGAATGGTGACTGTATCATTGTGTGTGTCAGGTTCCTATAAGGTGTCAGGGTGTCACTGTCTATTTCTCCATGGAGGAGTTTGAGTATTTAGAAGAACACAAGGACCTCTACAAGGACGTCATGATGGACAATCAGCCGCCCCTCACATCACCGGGTAAGAGGAGACTTTATTGGAAAGGAGAGAGCAGTACGGAGGATCCACCTAGATTCCCCATCATCTGATAAACACATAGAAACAATGGATTCAGTCAGTGTGTGTGTTTCCTACAGATGGATCCAGTCATGGGAACCCACCAGAGAGATGTCCCCGTCCTCGGTATTCCCGGGATTCCACACAGGAAGGTCACACCATCCCTCACCATCATCAGGTAGGTGGAGTTGAGGGTCGGGAACATAAAGTGATGGAACACTCTGACATGTGGAGACGATGTGTGGACTCTACAACAAGATGAGATGTTCTATGTGATCTCACATCATAAATCCTTCTATGTTACAGATGTTATTTTCTGCCATTCTGTTGGTTTAGGGTGAAGATCTGATGAACATGAAAGTTGAGGGTGAAGTAGAAGAGGCGTATGTGAGGGATGATCAGCAATATACGGAGGAGGCTGGAATGAGGAGGACATTCATAGAGGAGGACACTCCTACAGAGATCAGCACAGGTGACCAGAATATATTCTTCTCTTATCTCTGCTCTGTTACCGCCCCCCCAGCCCCCATTGGTTCCTGCTCCTCTGACAAGGTGGTGTAAATGTAGAAGTGATCTGGGAGGACCAAAGGCCTTTTGAAGAGGGGAAGAATCCCAGCTGGTTGGGACATCCACAGAGAACATCTGCTCCCTCCTGTCTCCCTGAGCCAGATGGAATCTTGATGGAAGTGAACTAACCCTCTCCTATCTATTGATGATGTTTTTCTATTTTTCCAGGACCCGCCATGGAGAAAACCCTCAAAGGATCGTCTCACTTTATCTCCAGGTTGTAAAATGGAAGATGAGGACATCCCAGGAGATTGTGCTGGAGAAAAGACAATTAGCTCTACTATGGATGGTGGACTTCCCAGTGTGGAGAGACCATGGGATCCCTCTGACTCTGAGCAACCTCGTACTGTGGGGGATGGGGCCGGGATTCAGGGGAAGAAGGAATTTCCCTGTCCTGAATGTGCGGAAAGTTTTTACTCAAAACTAAGTCTTCTTGTACATCAGAGATCTCACATAGGTGAGGAGCTTTATTCCTGTCCTGAGTGTGGAAAAATGTTTTCTTCATAACTCAACACTCATAATACATTACAGATCTCACACGGGGGAGAAGCCGTATTTTTGTCGCGAGTGCGGGAAATGTTATTCACAGAAGTGCCATCTTTATAGACATCAGAGACTGCACATGGGCGAGAAACCATACTTATGTCATGAGTGTGGGGAAATGTTATCCACGTAAATCAGAACTTGCTATACATCAAAGATCTCACACAGGGAAAGACCCATATTCTTGTCCTGAGTGCAGGAAAAGTTTTTCTCAGAAATCAGAACTTGTTATACATCAAACATCTCACACGGGAGGGAAGTCCTATTCCTGCACAGAGTGCTGGAAATGTTTTTCAAATAAATCAGAACTTGTTGCACATCAGCGGTCTCACACGGGGGAGAAGCCATATGCCTGCCCTGTGTGCAGAAAATGTTTTTCACACAAGTCCAATCTTAAAAAACATCAGAGGTCTCACTCAGGCGAGAAGCCGTATTCCTGTTCTGAGTGCGGGAAATGTTTTTCGCAGAATTCCCATCTTGCTAAACATCAAATGTGCCACACGCGCGAAACGCTGTTTTGCTGCCCTGTGTGCGGGAAATGTTATCCACGTAAATCAGAACTTGTTAAACATCAAAAATCTCACACAGGGCAAGGCCTGTATTCCTGTCTTGACTGCGGGAAATGTTTTTCACACAAGTCCAATCTTTCCAGACATAAGAGAGTGCACACAGCCGAGAAGTGATACGTCTGCCCTGAGTGCGGGAAATGTTTTTCACACAAGTCCAATCTTTCCAGACATAAGAGAGTGCACACAGCCGAGAAGTGATACGTCTGCCCTGAGTGCGGGAAATGTTTTTCACACAAGTCCAATCTTTCCAGACATAAGAGAGTGCACACAGCCGAGAAGTGATACGTCTGCCCTGAATGCGGGAAATGTTTTTCACACAAGTCCAATCTTTACAGACATAAGAGATTGCACACAGCTGAGAAGTGATACGCCTGCCCTAAGTGCAGGAAATGTTTTCCAAAGAAGTCTTGTCTTACCAGACATCCATCGGAGAATCCACACACCCTTGACGTATATTAATATCCTGTAGTGCGGGAAATGTCTTCTATATGGTGAAAGAGTAGTGTGTTGATGAAGAGGAGGGGAGCTCAGACTACACGGCAGGACTGACCATTTCACTGCAGTAGATATCAGCCTTCACAGGCACCTTCCTTTGTTTGGACAGTGCCACCTACTGGATGAAAGTGGAAAATATGACTTTTTTTTCAGATGCAACATTTCATATTTACTTGATAAAAATGCAAACATAATGAAACAAATGGATATTAAATATTTATATGCTTAACACTGTGGCAACCTTTGGAAGTTGATTTATAAAAGTCTGTCTTCTGATTTGTACAATGAAGTGTCTAATCTAGTGGTGCACCGAAATGATAATTCTGGTGCAGGAATAAGAGGATGTTACGGCAAGTAAATAGATACCCAACGTGTCACGGTTTAAAATTGCGCACGCTCGTGGAACGGCGTGAAACTGCGGTACTTAAATGGGTACCATGGATGATGCTTTAAAATTTTCTACAGGTTAGCAGTGTACAGTCACAGAGGAGGTCGAGTGTGAGAATTATTGCTATCACTCCGACATTCGTGGTGACACCTCACGTGTGTGGTTTAAACACAGTTTGCATATGTGGGCGTGGCCTACGTATACGTTCACCACTACGCGAAAGCATGGGGGGACGGGGGCACTTTAACTGCCTCCCACCCGCCATATAGTAATATGACGGGCGCAAGGCAATTCTCTCGTTCTGGGAGGAGTCATATGACGTCCTCCCATTCTAACCGCACATGCGCGGCTCCCGGAGTGCGGCGATCGGCGGTGCGCTGTGTCCCTCGGACACAGCAGATCACCGATCCATGGAAAGAGCCGAAGATTTCGGCTCGGTCATGTGATCAGCTGTGTCCAATCACAGCTGATCACATGTAAACAGGGAAATGCCGGCTATCGGCATTTCTCTCCTCACGAGCTGTCACGCTGGCAGAGGATAGAAGAGCCAGTAATCAGCTTTCCGCGGGAGGGGACATGTTCACTGATGATCAGTGTAGCTCCAGCAGCGCCACCTGTCAGTGTCCATCAGTGCCAACTGTCAGTGCTCATCCATGCCACTGCCCATCAGTGCCACATTTCAGTGCCATCTGAGCTGCCTTTCAGTGCCACCTATCAATGCCAGTCAGTGCTGCCTATCAGTGCCCGACAGTGCTGCCTATCAGTGCCGTCTAACAATGCCACCTAACAGTGCCAATCAGTGCTGTCTATCAGTGCCATATATGAGTGCTGCCTTTCAGTGCCCATCAGTGATGCCTGTCAATGCCCATCAGTGCCACCTACCAGTGCCTCCTCATCAGTGCTACCTATCAGTGCCCATCACCACAGCCTCATTAGCGCACATCAGTGAAGGAGAAAAATCACTTATTTACAAAATTTTATAACAAAAGCTAAGAAAAAACGTTTTTGTTTCAAAATTTTTTAGTGGTTTTTGGTTTGTTTAGGAAAAAATAAAAAACCCCAAGGTGATTAAATACCACCAAAAGAAAGCTCTGTCACAAAAAAATTATACAAATTTCATATGGGTACAGTGTTGCATGACCGCGCAATTGTCATTCAAAGTGTGATAGCACTGAAAGCTGGAAATTGGCCTGGGCAGGAAGGGGGTAGAAGTGCCCGGTGGGCAGGAAGGGGGTGGGAGTGCACGGTGGGCAGGAAGGGGGTAGAAGTGCTCGGTGGGCAGGAAGGGGGTAGAAGGGTCCGGCAGGCAGGAAGGGGGTAGAAGTGCCCGGCGGGCAGGAAGGGGGTAGAAGTGCCCGGCGGGCAGGAAGGGGGTAGAAGTGTCCGGAGGGCGGGAAGGGGGTGACAGTGCCCTGCGGGCAGGAAGGGTGTAGAAGTGCCGGTACGCAGGAAGGGGGGTAGAAGTGCCCGGTGGGCAGGAAGGGGGTAGAAGTGCCCGGTAGGCAGGAAGGGGGTAGAAGTGTCTGGTGGGCAAGAAGGGGGTAGACGTGCCCGGTAGGCAGGAAGGGGGTAGAAGTGCCCGGGGGGAGGGAAGGGGGTAGAAGGATCCGGTAGGCAGGAAGGGGGTAGAAGTGTCTGGTAGGCAGGAAGGGGGTGACAGTGTCCCGGTAGGCAGGAAGGGGGTAGAAGTGCCCAGCGGGCAGGAAGGGGGTGACAGTGCCCTGTAGGCAGGAAGGGGGTAGAAGTGCCCTGTAGGCAGGAAGGGGGTAGAAGTGCCCGGTAGGCAGGAAGGGGGTAGAAGTGCCCTGTAAGCACGAAAGGTGTAGAAGTGCCTGATAGGCAGGAAGGGGGTAGAAGGGCCGGTAGGCAGGAAGGGGGTAGAAGGGCCGGTAGGCAGGAAGGGGGTAGAAGTGTCTGGTAGGCAGGAAGGGGTTAGAAGTGCCCGGTAGGCAGGAAGGTGGTAGAAGTGCCCTGTAGGCAGGAAGGGGGTAGAAATGCCGGTAGGCAGGAAGGGGGTAGAAGTGCCCTATAGGCAGGGAGAGGGTAGAAGTGCCCTGTAAGCAGGAAGGGGGTAGAAGTGCCCGGTGGGCAGGAAGGGGGTAGAAGTGCCCGGTGGGCAGGGAGGGGGTAGAAGTGTCCGGTAGGCAGGAAGGGGGTAGAAGTGCCCTGTAGGCGGGAAGGAGGTAGAAGTGCCTGGTAGGCGGGAAGGGGGTAGAAGTGCCCTGTAGGCAGGAAGGGGGTAGAAGTGCCTGGTGGGCAGGAAGGGGGTAGAAGTGCCCTGTAGGCAGGAAGAGGGTAGAAGTGCCTGGTGGGCAGGAGGGGCGTAGAAGTGCCCGGTAGGCAGGAAGGGGGTAGAAGTGCCTGGTGTGCAGGAGGGGCGTAGAAGTGCCCGGTAGGCAGGAAGGGGGTAGAAGTGCCCTGTAGGCAGGAAGGAGGTAGAAGTGTCCGGTGGGGAGGAAGGGGGTAGAAGTGCCCGGTAGGCTAGTGGTTAAACTTTTTTTTTTTTTGCACTGTCCCTTAAAAAAAAATGTAATCACTTTTATTTATCATAAGAAATGCATGCATCCCCTGTGATAGAAATAATTAGTGGCGGGTCCTCTTTATGGAGACATCGGGGGCCAATAAGGCCCCACATCTCTCCTCTGCATTGTAAAGCATTGGATCAAAAAAAGCATCGATCTAGTGCTTTAAAAAAAAGGGCATAGATATGAGTGTAGGCCATTTTTCCTTCAGTGTCCATTCAGTGTCCTCCACCCCTCTCTGCCAATCCCTCCACTAGTCTCCATTCAGTGTCCTCCACCCCTCTCTGCCAATCCCTCCATACAGTGTCCTCCACCCCTCTCTGCCAATCCCTTCACTAGTCTCCATTCAGTGTCCTCCACCCCTCTCTGCCAATCCCTCCACTGGCCTCCATTCAGTGTCCTCCACCCCTCTCTGCCAATCCCTCCACTGGCCTCCATTCAGTGTCCTCCACCCCTCTCTGCCAATCCCTCCACTGGCCTTCATTCAGTGTCCTCCACTCCTCTCTGCCTATCCCTCCACTGAACTCCATTCAGTATCCTCCACCCCTCTCTGCCAAGAAATCAAAGTACTAACAGCAACATACAAAACCAACAACTCTTCCCCCGGCTACATCACCAACCTCATATTAAAATATCACCCAAATCATCCTCTCTACTCCCAAGACCTCCTGCTCTCCATCTTCCACATCACTGCCTCGCCTTCTCATCTCCAGAACTTCTCCAGAACCTCTCCCATCCTTTGGAATCCCCTAACCCAATCTGTCCGGCTCTCTCCTTCTCTGTCCACTTTTAGGTGATTCCTGGAAACGCATCTCCTCAGGAAAGCCTGTCCTCCTTCATAGCCAGGTATGAGGTGAACACATTTGGGTGGGGTTCAGTGAGGGTCCAGAGATCTTTTCTGACATTTGGATGCAGAATCCTGCCATTGGAGCCAACAAAGTGGCTGAGGTGGAAGACCGTATCTTATCATCCTGTGAAAAGCGGACAGTTTGGAACAATTATTGAAATTCCAGGATGGCCTGGCAACATTTGGGATACAAAACAAGGCCTGGGTCACACTAGGAAGATTCTCGGGGCTGCAGTTCCTCTGAGCTCCACAAGGTGGGGATCTCACTTCTACCCAGACAGGAAGTCTCTATGGAAGACAGGAAGTGATGTCAGGTATAACTAGGAAGTACTTGGTGACAGATGAGTCAGAAGGAAGTAGAGAGGAGACATTGCTGGAAGTGGCAGTAGAGGAGGTAATTATTAAGTATTTATAAAGCGCCAATATTCGCTCAGCGCTACATTACAATCCAGTACCACCCCCGAGGGCGTCAGCTTACAATCTAGTCCCAGTCCCCCCGTCTCCCCTCCTCCGTAGTCACGCTCGTCCTCTTCCTCCATCATCGCGCCCGTCCTCTCCCTCCACCGTCGCGCCCGTCCTCTTCCTCCACCGTCGCGCCCGTCCTCTTCCTCCACCGTCAGTCGTCTTTCTTCGTAGTCGCGTCCGTCCTCTCCCTCCACCGTCGCGTCCGTCCTCTCCCTCCATCGTCGCGTCCGTCCTCTTCCTCCACCGTCATGCCCCTCCTGTTCCTCCACCGTCACATCGGTCCTCTCCCTCCATGTGTGTCACCTTCTCACCTTAGCAGTCTCCTGTAAGTGTCCTCTTCCTCCATTGTCTTGTCCGTCCTCTTCCTCCATCATCACGCCCGTCCTCTCCCTCCATCGTCTTGTTCCGTCCTCTCCTCCTCCATTGTCTTGTCTGTCCTCTCTCCCTCCATTGTCTTTTCTGTCCTCTCCCCTCCAACGTCGCTTCCGTCCTCTACCTCCAACGTCGCTTCCGTCCTCTACCTCCAACGTCGCTTCCGTCCTCTACCTCCACCGTCGCTTCCGTCCTCTACCTCCACCGTCGCTTCCGTCCTCTTCCTCCACCGTCGCTTCCGTCCTCTTCCTCCACCGTCGCTTCCGTCCTCTTCCTCCACCGTCGCTTCCGTCCTCTTCCTCCACCGTCGCTTCCGTCCTCTTCCTCCACCGTCGCTTCCGTCCTCTTCCTCCACCGTCGCTTCCGTCCTCTTCCTCCACCGTCGCTTCCGTCCTCTTCCTCCACAGTCATGTTCCGTCCTCTTCCTCCATAGTCATGTTCCCGTCCTCTTTCTCCACAGTCACATAGGTCCTCTTCCTCCACCGTCGCTTCTGTCCTGTTCCTCCACCGTCGCTTCCGTCCTCTTCCTCCATGTGTGTCACCTTCTCACCTTAGCAGTCTCCTGTAAGTGTCCTCTTCCTCTATCGTCTTGTCCGTCCTCTCCTCCATCATCACGCCCGTCCTCTCCCTCCATCATCACGCCCGTCCTCTCCCTCCATCATCACGCCCGTCCTCTCCCTCCATCATCACGGCACGCCCGTCCTCTCCCTCCATCATCACGCCCGTCCTCTCCCTCCATCATCACGCCCGTCCTCTCCCTCCATCATCACGCCCGTCCTCTCCCTCTATCCTTGTCCGTCCTCTTCCTCCATCATCACCCCTGTCCTCTTCCTCCACTGTCACACCCGTCCTCTTCCTCCATAGTCATGTTCCGTCCTCTTTCTCCACAGTCACATAGGTCCTCTTCCTCCACCATCGTGCCTGTCCTCTTCCTCCACTGTCACGTCAGTCCCCTCCCTCCATGTGTGTCACCTTCTTACCTTAGCAGTCTCCTGTAACGATGGGTTGTACTAAACTTTAACAAAATTCCAATATCCAGAATATAAATTTTGGTGGAAACTTGTGGTTGGAATAATGTTGGTGCTCACCCATAAGGCAATGCACAGCCTTCACCCTGACCAGAAGTCTGACAGAAGCAAATAATTAAGGAGGAGGTGGATAACCCCGCCCCTCACTAAGAGAAGTGGTCTGAGATCATCCAATAATGGGTGAGGAGGCAGAAAACCCCACCCCTCACTATGAGAAGGGCTCTGAGACCTTCCAGTATCGGGTGAGGAGGCAGAAAACCCCGCCCCTCACTATGAGAAGGGGTCTGAGATCTTCCAGTAATGGGTGAGGAGGCAGAAAACCCCGCCCATCGCTATTAGAAGGGGTCTGAGATCTTCCAGTAATGGGGTGAGGAGGCAGAAAACCCCGCCCCTCACTATGAGAAGGGGTCTGAGATCTCCCAGTAATGGGTGAGGAGGCAGAAAACCCCTCCCCTCACTATGAGAGGGGCTCTGAGATCTTCCAGTAATGGGTGAGGAGGCAGAAAAACCCCGCCCTCTCACTGAGAAGGGGTCTGAGATCTTCCAGTAATGGGTGAGGAGGCAGAAAGCCCCGCCCCTCACTACGAGAAGGGGTCTGAGATCTCCCAGTAATGGGTGAGGGGGCAGAAAACCCCGCCCCTCACTATGAGAGGGGCTCTGAGATCTTCCAGTAATGGGTGAGGAGGCAGAAAACCCCGCCCCTCACTGAGAAGGGTCTGAGATCTTCCAGTAATGGGTGAGGAGGCAGAAAGCCCCGCCCCTCACTACGAGAAGGGCTCTGAGATCTTCCAGTAATGGGTGAGGAGGCAGAAAACCCTGCCCCTTACTATGAGAAGGGGTCTAAGATCATCCAATAATGGGTGGGGGAGGCAGAAAACCCCACCCCTCAGCATGAGCAGGGGTCTGAAATCTTCCAGTAATGGGGAGGAGGCAGAAAACCCAGCCCCTCACTATGAGAAGGGGTCTGAGATCATCCAGTAATGGGTGAGGAGGCAGAAAACCCCGTCCCTCAGTATGAGAAGAGGTCTGAGATCTTGCAGTAATGGGTGAGGAGGCAGAAAACCCCTCCCCTCACTATGAGAAGGGGTCTGAGATCATCAAGTAATGGGTGAGGAGGCAGAAGACCCTGCCCCTCACTATGAGAAGGGCTCTGAGACCTTCCAGTAATGGGAGAGGAGGCAGAAAACCACGCCCCTCAATATGAGAAGGGATCTGAGATTGTCCAGTAATGAGAGAGGAGGCAGAAAACCCTGCCCCTCACTATAAGAGGGATCTGCCATATTGTCAGCATGGTTAACCCTTGGAATGCCTAGTTTGGACGCTGTATCAATATCAGGTTGGAAGACTGTAGACCTGTAACCGACCATGAATGATAGTAGAAGGGTCTAGGGGAGGGGTAGTACTGTCAAGGGCCACAAGGTGAATAACTAGGCAGGGGGGGGGGGGCCTCTGACAGTCTGCCAATGGAAAATATGAGTAGCCTGTGAAGGCAAGTAGTATCAGTTGGCCTCCCCAATTTCTTAGAATGCTGTATGTTGGACCAGTGGAGTTTGTGTCTTCTGGTGACACTAATAAACAGTTTATGTGGGGAATGTAGCACTTTATTTGTCCCTCTGTTTAGTTTACATTTCCCCTGAGGGGCAACCCGACTATTAACCCTTTACATCACCTTCCCAATATTGTACAACCAAGTCATAATTCTCTTCTATCCATCTGCAGAGAACTCTATATAGATCACATGACCAATGAGGATGGAGGAGGACCGGAGTCACATGACTGAGAGGATACTAAACCTCACCCTGGAGATCATCTACCTGCTGACTGGAGAGGTGAGGAGGATTCTGGGAGGTCACATGACGTCACTCTCATCTCTATTAATAAAACACAGACCTGACCGGAGAGGTGAGGAGGATTCTGGGACGTCTGTAGTGATCACTGGTATTGTCTTTTTTTTCTTACACAGGACTTTGAACTGGTGAAGAAGGCCTCTAGTGAGCGATGGGCACCCAACAATCTTCTCCATGGACCACCTGACATCACATCTACACCTCACTACCTGAAATCTGAGAGACTCAACATGGAGAAGATTCTAGAAGTCACCAAGAAGATGATGGAGCTGCTGACAGGAGAGGTAAGCGGTGGCGGGAATTCTAGGACATTCTCCAGTAACAGACAAGGGATGTGTCTGGATGGTGACTGTATCATTGTGTGTGTCAGGTTCCTATAAGGTGTCAGGGTGTCGCTGTCTATTTCTCCATGGAGGAGTGGGAGTATTTAGAAGGACACAAGGACCTCTACAAGGACGTCATGATGGACAATCAGCTGCCCTCACATCACCGGGTAAGAGGAGACTTTATTGGAAAGGAGAGAGCAGTACGGAGGCTCCACCTAGATCCCCCATCATCTGATAAACACATAGAAACAATGGATTCAGTCAGTGTGTGTGTTTCCTACAGATGGATCCAGTCATGGGAACCCACCAGAGAGATGTCCCCGTCCTCTGTATTCCTGGGATTCCACACCAGAAGGTCACTCCATCCCTCACCATCATCAGGTAGATGGATCCAGTCATGGGAACCCACCAGAGAGATGTCCCCGTCCTGTGTATTCCCGGGATTCCACACAGGAAGGTCAAACCACACATCATCCCTCACCATCATCAGGTAGATGGATCCAGTCATGGGAACCCACCAGAGAGATGTCCCCATCCTCTATATTCCTGGAATATCAGATTTTCTCTCTGATAAATCTGCTTACTTTTTTGCTGTATACACCATTTATTTAGATATATTTGACCATAATATATTCTTATCTTATCTCTGCTCTGTTACTGTATATTGGTCCAGAGTAGGGCTTGAGTTGAGTGATATTGACCAATAATAGGTTGGTAATGGTGCTGAATATCACCAGAAGTCTAGGCCTATGGTCACTTGTTCTATGGTAATGGGTCTACAAGTCTGAACCTTGACCCTCTTGTCCATCAGAGATCACATGACCCAGTGCCTAGGCTTGTGGTTGTGTAAAGAGCATGCCCCTCCAGCCCCCATTGGTTCCTGCTCTTCTGACAAGGCAGAGTAAATGTAGAAGTGATCTGGGAGGACCAAAGGCCCTTTGAAGAGGGGAAGAGTTCCAGCTGGTTGGGACATCCACAGAGAACATCTGCTCCCTTTTATCTCCCTGATCCTGATGGAATCTTGATGGAAGTGAACTAACCCTCTTCTATCTATTGATGATGTTTTTCTATTTTTCCAGGACCCGCCATGGAGAAACCCTCAAATGATCGTCTCACTTTATCCCCAGGTTGGAAAATGGAAGATGAAGACATCCCAGGAGATTGTGTCGGAGAAAAGAAAATGAGCTCCACTATGGATGGTGGACTTCCCAGTGTGGTTGGACCATGGAGTCCCTCTGACTCTGAGCAACCTTGTACTGTGGGGGATGGGGCCAGGTTTCAGGGGGAAAAGACGTTTCCCTGTCCTGAGTGTGGGAAATATTTTCCACAGAAGTCCAATCTTTTCAGACATCAGAGATTGCACACACAAGCGAAAAGCCATATTCTTGTTCTCAGTGTGGGAGATTTTTTCCACATAAATCAGACCTGGTTATACATCAAATATCTCATAGAAGGGCCAGTCCATATTCCTGCCTTGAGTGCGGGAAATGTTTTACAGAAAAGAACAAGCTTTCTGTACATCAGAGGTTGCACACGGGCAAGAAACCATATTCTTGTTCTGAGTGCGGGAGATGTTTTCAACGGAATTCAGATCTTGTCATACATCAAAGAACTCACACAGGGGAGAGGCCATATTCCTGTTCTGAGTGCGGAAAATGTTTTTTACAGACGTCCCATCTTTACACCCATCAGAGGTCTCACACGGGTGAGAAGCCGTATTCCTGTTCTGAGTGCGGGAAATGTTTTCGGGCGAAAACAGACCTTGTTATGCACCAAAGATCTCACACAGGGGAGAGGCCATATTCCTGCCCTGAGTGCGGGAAATGTTTTTTACAGAAGTCCCATCTTAACACACATCAGAAGTCTCACACGGGTGAGAAGCCGTATTCTTGTTCTGAGTGCGGGAAATGCTTTTCACGGAAGTCTCATCTTGGCACACATCAGAGGTCTCACACAGGTGAGAAGCCGTATTCCTGCTCTGAGTGTGGGAAATGTTTTTCTCACAAGTCCAGCCTTACCCTGCATCAGATATACCATACAGGGTAAAAGCCGGTTTTCCACCATGGGTGCGGGACATGTTTCTCATGGAAGTATTGTCTTAGCAGATATCAGAGAACCCACACAACCCTTGAGGTGTCCCGAGTGCGGGAAATGTCTTCTATAGGGATGATATGTTGCCGTACATCAGAGATCTCACACTGGGAAGAAGCACACCTTGATATACACCTCAGAAAACACATGGCTGAGCGCTCCTCTGATCTTTATCATGGAAGAAACACTTTATAAGGAGATCAGAGAAAACTAAAGACTTCAAAGTTGTGTCTGGCTTCCTCTGCTGGGAGAGAGAGAAGGGGGGGGGGGGGTCACTGCTGGTTGGGTCCCTCTAGCAGTGTAGTCTGATCTCTCCTGGCCTTCAGCAGAAGCTTCTTTGGAGGCCATCATGGTGAGAGAGAAGGAGGGGGGGTCACTGCTGGTTGGGTCCCTCTAGCAGTGTATTCTGATCTCTCCTGACCTTCAGCAGAAGCTTCCATGGAGGACATCATGGTTACAGAGGAGCTTATCGATGAAGAGAAGGGGAGAGTAGTTATCAGCCTGTACAGGCGCTTTGTTTGCTTGGAGAGTGCCACCTGTTGTCAGAAAGTGGAAAATCTGACATTTTCAGATGCAACATTTCATATTTACAAAAAATTCAACTATAGTAATGTAATATTAATTTTTAATATCCAAACTTTAATTCGGTCTTTAGTAAGTTCTGATATATGCCTGGCAGTGAATACCCTCTTAATTGGATGTGAATGTGAGGTTTTGCATTTGAGTGGTCACAGATGTGAATTATTTGTGTCTGAGCAAAGTTAATCAGTAAGAGGTTTAAAGTCATGTTTTTTCTAAGCTAGTCTATGTAACGTACACCTTATTTTGAATTCTTATAATGAGTCTGAGAGTTTAAATTGTACTCATAAATCACGTATTCAGACAGTTGTATGTAACATAAGAACTTCAGAGACCTCTTTCATAGTCTGCATGTCAATCATGATAATGACTTGGTGGTCTGAATCAGTAACATATGTTTCAGTTAGGCAGGGAGTGACTAAGGGAGTGTTTAAGGAGCCCGCGAATTTCAAACAAAGGTTAATGGGAGGACTTAATTTCTCATGCATTTTAAGTATGCAGCTTTTCAAAGAACGAGAGGCAGTTGCTTCTTAGATACTCTACACTTCATTCAGACATACCTACACTTCAGACACTTACACAAAGAACAGCACGTAGCATACTTGAACAAAGGACAAAGGGAAGCACATGTTCACTTCTTAAGCTAGGCCTGAAAATCTTCTATCTAAGCTATTCAAAGGAACTACATTTTCTTCTAATATTCAAGGAACAAGCAACTTATATTCTTTATTTTTATTTCATTTTAAGCTACATATATCTGCATTTACTGTTTTTTATTGACTTTGTATTTTTTGGTGTGTGATCAAATAAAGTCACACTGCTTATACTGAACTGGCTTCTATAAGGATTTCTTCCCACAACCATCTACAAGAACCTAGAAATACTAATAGAGTTTTTTCATAACTCTGGAAATCTAACAAGTAACAAATATTTCTAGTATGATACATTGTATACTATTAAGTCTGTATGTAAGTTCTACAAACTATTGAATGTATAAGTGAAATACCCCCAAAACGACCCGATTTTGTAAAGTTGGCAGTCCGAGGTATTTAGTAAGAGGCATGGCGAGTTTTATTTAAGTTGTCATTTTTTGCCAATTTTTTTGTGAAAATAAAGTAAGTAAAATGTAATTTTATTTCACATAGTTGTCGTTTGAACAAGTTTTTTTCTCAGGCACAGCATAGGCATGCTTAGAATTACACCCAAAAACACATTCTTCTACTCCTGCCAAGTATGGAGATATCACACGTGTGAGACTTTTTTTTGCTGCCTAGATGCATAGAGGGGACCAAAATCTAAGGAGCACCTTTATGATTTCAAAATTTATAAATTATGCATTGGATTACCTGACTACCCATCGCATTTCTCGAGGCCTTGAAGTGCCAGGACAGGAGAAACACCAACAAAATGACCCCATTTTGCAAAGTAGACCATTCAACATACACTGCTCAAAAAAAATTAAAGGCAGACTTTGTAATCCGAGTCTAGCTTCAAGTCGATGAACCTCCTGGGATATGGATTTGGTCAGGTAAGTCGCAGAGGGGGTTGTTCATCAGTTTCAGCTGCTTTGGTGTTCATGAAAATAACAACAGGTGCACTAGATGGGCAACAATGAGATGACCCCCAAAACAGGAATGGTTTTACAGGTGGAGGCCACTGACATTTTTCCCTACTCATCTTTTCTGACTAATTTTCACTAGTTTAGCATTTGGCTAGGGTCAGTGTCACTACTGGTAGCATGAGGCTATACCTGGACCCTACAGAGGTTGCACAGGCAGTCCAACTCCTCCAGGATGGCACATCAATATGTGCCATTGCCAGAAGGTTTGCTGTGTCTCCCAGCACAGTCTCAAGAGCATGGAGGAGATTCCAAGAGACAAGAACATGGAGGAGATTCCAGGAGACAGGCCGTTCCTCTAGGAGAGCTGGACAGGGCCGTAGAAGGTCCTTAACCCTTCAGCAGGAACGGTATCTGCTCCTTTGTGCACGGAGGGACAAGAGGAGCACTGCCAGTGCCCTACAATATTACCTCCAGCAGGCCTCTGGTGGGAATGTCTCTGACCAAACAATCAGAAACAGACTTCATGAGGATGGCCTGAGGGCCCGACGTCCTCTAGTGGGCCCTGTGCTCACTGCCCGACACCATAGAGCTGGATTGGCATTGGCCATTGAACACCAGAATTGACAGGTCCACCACTGGCACCCTGTGCTTTTCACAGATGAGAGCAGGTTCACCCTGAGCACATGTGACAGAGGTGAAAGGGTCTGGAGAAGCTGTGGAGAATGTTCTGCTGCCTGTAACATGGTTCAGCATGACCGTTTTGGTGGTGGGTCAGTGATGGTCTGGGGAGGCATATCCATGGAGGGACGCACAGACCTCTACAGGCTAGACAATGGCACCCTGACTGCCATTAGGTATCGGGATGAAATCCTTGGACCCATTGTCAGACCCTACACTGGTGCCGTGGGCCCTAGGTTCTTCCTGGTGCGGTGGGTCCTGGGTTCCTCCCGGTGCAGTGGCTCCTGGGTTCCTCCTGGTGCAGTGGCTCCTGGGTTCCTCCTGGTACACAACAATGCCCGGTCTCAGGTGGGGAGAGTATGCAGGCAGTTCCTGGAGGATGAAGGAATTGATACCATTCAATGGCCCCCACGCTCGCCTGATCTAAATCCAATAGAACACCTCTGGGATGTCATGTTTCGGTCCATCCAACGCCGCTAGGTTACACCTCAGACTGTCCAGGAGTTCACTGATGCCCTGGTTCAGAATTAAGTATCTTTTTTCTAATCGATATAAAGCTGTCACATGACCAGGCCCGGGCTAGGATAAAAAATAGGCCCAGGCATTTTAGACTGAGCAGCCAATTTTTCCAGGGGGGGCGTGTGCAAGGGCGTTGGGGATGGAATATTCACGGAGTCAGTCCTCTGCACTGTAATGTAAAGGAGCACTGTGATATAAAGGGGACTGCACTGTTTAGGGGCACTGTATTGACTACAGTGCCCCTTTACGGCACAGTCCCCTTTATATCTTAGTGCCCCTTTACATTACAGTGCCCCTAGAGATCTAAATCACAGTTCTCCCTATATATTCAAACAGATGGCCCAATTCAGCAAAGAGACATCCCAATCCAACAGAGACATCCCTATATAGCAAAGAGACAGCTCAGTGCAGCAAACAGATATCCCCATATAGCAAAGAGACAGCCCAATCCAGCAAACAGACATCCTCGTCTAGCAAAGAGACATCCCAACTAGCAAAGAGACAGCCCGTCCAGCAAAGACACAGCTCATCCAGCAAAAAGACAGCCCATCGAGCAAAGAGACATCCTGCCCAGCAAAGAGCCCATTTAGCACAGAGACAGCTTGTCCAGCAGAGACAGCTCAACCAGTAAAGAGACAGCTCATCCAGTGGAGACAGCTCAACCAGTAAAGAGACAACCCATCCAGCAAAGAGACAGCTTAACCAGTAAAGAGACAGCCCATCCAGCAAAGAGACATCCTGCCCAGCAAAGAGAAAGCCCGTTTAGCAAAGAGTCAGCCCATCTAGCAAAAAGACAGCCCATCCAGCAAAGAGACATCCCGTTCAGCAAAGAGACATCCCGTTCAGCAAAGAGACATCCCGTTCAGCAAAGAGACATCCTGTCTAGTAAAGAGCCCGTTCAGCAAAGAGACATCCCGTCCAGCAAAGAGACAGCTCATCCAGCAAATAGCCCATCCATCAAAGAGACAGCCCATCTAGCAAAGAGACAGCCGGTTTGGCAAAGAGACAGCCCAATCCACCACCAAGCTGTAATACTGTGCCAGCAGGTGAAGGAGAGAGGCCGCCGTTGTCCCTTCAGTGCGACTGTGTACAGTGGCTAGCCAGGGAGGTGTCTGTGTGTCCTCAGAGGCGCTTCCTGCCTGTCGATGGAGCAATCACTGCCGCTCCTCCTGTCAGCCCTGCTTTGGGCATAGCTGCATAGTGGGAGGTGAGTGGCAGCCGCGGTCTGTGTTATCTCCATTAAGACCGCGGTCGCCGCTTACCTCCTACTGTGCGGCCCGATCAGCAACAGGCCATTTTTCCTAAGCTCGGTGGCCCCAGCCCACTGGGCAAATGCCCGGTGTGCCCTATGGCCAGTCCAGGCGTGCACATGACCCAACTCTCTCCCAACCTGTCTGCAGGGAAACAGTGACAGGAGGAGCTTCTAGTCCTTTGCTGCAGGTCACATGTTTTCAAAATTAAAAAAAAGAAAGCCGCCTTTGGGATACAGAGAAGAAAAAAAAAAAGTCTGTTCACGCTATGAAAATGTTTCATATGGCTGCAGTTCCTCTGAGCTCCAAAAGGTGGTAATCCCACTTCTACCCAGACAGGAAGTCTCTATGGAAGACAGGAAGTGATGTCAGGGACAGACAGGAAGTGATGTCAGGTATAAATAAGAAATTGTGAGCGATGAGTTGGGAGGAAGTAGAGAGACATTGCTGGAAGTGGCAGCAGAGGTGATAAGATGTTATTTTATATTTACACCCAGTAACCCCCGTCACGTCCATCCTCTTCCTCCATCGTCATGTTCGTCCTCTTCCTCCATCGTCATGTCCGTCCTCTTCCTCCCATCGTCACATCCATCCTCTTCCTCCACCATCATGCCCGTCCTCTTCCTCCATTGTCATGTCTGTCCTCTTCCTCCATCGTCGCATCCGTCCTCTTCCTCCATCGTCACACCTGTCCTCTTCCCCTGCTGTCACGTCCGTCCTCTTCCTCCATAGTCACGGTGATGTCTTTTATCTCCAGCAGATGATGATACACACATATATAGTGTGGGAACCCAGATTAACCCCTTCAGGGGCCGGAACATTCCCCACTTACAGGGTCAAGACATTTCCTACATTTGGAGATGTTTGGAGAACAGGATTTTTTTTAAAAACATAAAGATGAAGGGTAATAGGCTTCAGGACCCCCAGAATATAGGAATAGTAAACTGAATGTTGCTCTGTGTGTAATCCCACTGGAAAACGTTCTTCCATGATAGAGACCCTCATCACGTCATGCCCGTCCTCTTCCTCCACCATCGACGTCTTTTATTTCCAGGACTAATTTTTACAATCAGCTCCCATTGACTCCAGTAGGGTTTGTATTTGGCAAAGCGTTCTTCAACTGAACCCAGATGTGTTTTGGTCATTACTAATTACAAATCAGCAGAATTGATTCATGGTCCTGATACTGTCCACTCTCCTGACATCAACACAAAAAGTCCACTATGTGCCAAGAACGTTCTACGGATACTATTCATCCCAATCCGATCATTGTCATTGTATTATCCGTCTACAGGGAGAAGCATCGTCTATAGATCACTTAATCAGATCATTGAGGATGGAGGAAGACAAGAGTGGCATCACTGAGAAGATACTAAACCTCACTCTGGAGATCATCTACCTGCTGACCGGAGAGGTGAGGAGGATTCTGGGAGGTCACATGACATCACTCTCATCTCTATTAATAAAACACAGACCTGATCGAAGAGGTGAGGATTCTGGGAGGTCACATGACATCACTCATCTCTATTAATAGACCTGATCGAAACACAGACCTGACATCACCGGAGAGACCGAGAGTGAGGAGGATTCTGGGAGGTCACATGACATCACTCATCTCTATTAATAAAACACAGACCTGACTGGAGAGGTGAGGAGGATGCTGGGAGGTCACATGACATCACACAGACCTGACCGGAGAGGTGAGGGGGATTCTGGGAGGTCACATGACATCACCCAGACCTGACCGGAGAGGTGAGGAGGATTTTGGGAGTTTAACATGATATTCCTATTGGTTCCCCAATACAGAGATTTCCTCTTCTGAAGTCAGGTGATAATATGACCATCACAGTGCCTCCATGTGACTCCCTAAACCCTGAGAGACACAACATGGAGAAGATTCTAGAAGTCACCAAGAAGATGATGGAGCTGCTGACAGGAGAGGTGAGCGGTGCCAGGAATTCTGGGACATTCTCCCAGTAACAGACAAGGGATGTGTCTGGATGGTGACTGTATCATTGTGTGTGTCAGGTTCCTATAAGGTGTCAGGATGTCACTGTCTATTTCTCCATGGAGGAGTGGGAGTATTTAGAAGGACACAAGGACCTCTACAAGGACGTCATGATGGACAATCAGCTGCCCCTCACATCACCGGGTAAGAGGAGACTTTATTGGAAAGTAGAGAGCAGTACGGAGGATCCACCTAGATCCCCCATCATCTGATAAACACATAGAAACAATGGATTCAGTCAGTGTGTGTGTTTCCTACAGATGGATCCAGTCATGGGAACCCACCAGAGAGATGTCCGCGTCCTCTGTATTCCCGGGATTCCACACAGGAAGGTCGCACCATCATCCACCATCATCAGGTAGATGGATCCAGTCATGGAAACCCACCAGAGAGATGTCCCCGTCCTCTGTATTCCTGGGATTCCACACAGGAAGGTCACACCATCCCTCACCATCATCAGGTAGATGAGGAACAATCACTGATAGTATCATTAGGATCTGTACATTATCTGCATTGTTACCATTGATGCCATTTTATTATATATTCAGAGAGGAAACTTGAGAGATTCTAAAGTTGAGGTCAAAGAAGAGATAAAAGAGGAGGATGATGGAGTCGTAAAGGACCTCTCTGAAGGACAAAAGAATATCTACAAGGATATTATGATGGAGCCACCAAATACCAGGAACCCACCAGAGAGATGTCCCCGTCCTCTGTATTCCTGGGATTCAACACAGGAAGGTCACACCATCCCTCACCATCATCAGGTAGGTGAGGAACAGTCACTGATAGTTATGATTTACATACAGCATGTGTGTTACAATAATAATGCTTTATTATATATTCAGAGTAGAAACTTCAGGGATAACATTTTTGTTAAAGAAGAGTATAAAGAGGATGATGGGGAGTATGGATTTATAAAGGAGCTTTTTGAAGGACGCAAATATCTCTATAACAATATCATGATGGAGTCACCTGAGAGCAGGAACCCACCAGAGAGACGTCCCTGTCCTCTGTATTCCCGGGATTCCACACAGAAAGGTCACACCATTCCTCACCATCATCAGGTAGGTGGAGTTGAGGGTCGGGAACATAAAGTGATGGAACACTCTGACATGTGGAGACGATGTGTGGACTCTACAAGATGAGATGTTCTATGTGATCTCACATCATAAATCCTTCTATGTTACAGATGTTATTTTCTGCCATTCTGTTGGTTTAGGGTGACGATCTGATGAACATGAAAGTTGAGGGTGAAGTAGAAGAGACGTATGTGAGGGATGATCATCAGCAATATACGGAGGAGGCTGGAATGAGGACATTCATAGAGGAGGACACTCCTGCAGAGATCAGCACAGGTGAGGGTCACAAGTCTGAACATTGAACCTCTTATCTATCAGAGATCGCATGATCCAGTGCCTAGGCTTGTGGTTGTGTGAAGAGCATGCCCCCCCCCCAGCCCCCATTGGTTCCTGCTCATCTGACAAGGAGGTGTAAATGTAGAAGTGATCTAGGAGGACCAAAGGCCCTTTGAAGAGGGGAAGAGTCCCAGCTGGTTGGGACATCCACAGAGAACATCTGCTCCCTCCTATCTCCCTGATCCAGATGGAATCTTGATGGAAGTGAACTAACCCTCTCCTATCTATTGATGATGTTTTTTCTATTTTTCCAGGACCCGCCATGGAGAAACCCTCAAAGGATCGTCTCACTTTATCTCCAGGTTGTAAAATGAAAGATGAGGACATCCCAGGAGATTGTGCCGGAGAAAAGACAATGAGCTCCACTATGAATGGTGGACTTCCCAGTGTGGAGAGACCATGGGACCCCTCTGACTCTGAGCAACCTCGTACTGTGGGGGATGGGGCCGGGATTATGGGGGAGAAGACATTTTACTGTCCCGAGTGCAGGGAAAGTTTTAGCTCTGAGTTAAGTTTTTCTGTACATCAGAGATCCCACACGGGGGAGGGGCTTCATTCCTGTCCTGAGTGCGGGAATTATTTCTCACAGACGTTCAACCTTTTCGGTCATCACAGATTGCACATAGGTGAAAAACCATATTCTTGTTCTCAGTGTGGGAAATTTTTTCCACAGAAGTCAGACCTTGTTATACGTCAAATATCTCACACAGGGGACAGTCAGTATGCCTGTCTTGAGTGTGGGAAATGTTTTTCAGAGAAGAACAAGCTTTTTTCACATCAGAGATTGCACATGGGCATTAAACCAACTTGTTCCGAATGCGGTAGATGTTTTCAACGAAATTCAGACCTTGTAATACATCAAAGAACTCACACGGGTGAGAAGCCGTATTGCTGTTCTGAGTGCGGGAAATGTTTTGCACGGAAGTACCATCTTAACACACATCATATGTGTCACACAGGGGAGAAGCCGTATTCCTGTTATCAGTGCGGGAAATGTTTTTCACGGAAGTTCAATCTGAAAACACATCAGCTTTGTCACACGGGGGAGAAGCCCTATTCCTGCCCTGAGTGTGGGAAATGTTTTTCACAGAAGTCTTATCTTACCAAACATCAGAGATCCCACACAATCCTCAAGGTTTATTAGTGTCTCAATTGCGGGAAATGTCTTCTCTATGGATGATATGTTGCCAGACATCAGAGATTTCACACTGGGAAGAAGCACACCTTGATATACACCTCAGAAAACATGTGGCTGAGCGCTCCTCTGATCTTTATCATGGAAGAAACACTTTATAAGGAGATCAGAGATCACTAAAGACTTCAACGTTGTGTCTGGCTTCCTCTGCTAGGAGAGAGAAGGAGGGGGGGGGGGTTACTGCTGGTTGGGTCCCTCAAGCCGTGTAGTCTGATCTCCCCTGACCTTCAGCAGAAGCTTCCATGGAGGACATCATGGTGAGAGAAAAGGAGGGGGGTCACTGCTGGTTGGGTCCCTCTAGCCCTGTAGTCTGATCTTCCCTGACCTTCAGCGGAAGTTTCCATGGAGGACATCATAGTGAGAGAGGAGGGGGGGTCACTGCTGGTTAGGTCCCTCTAGCCGTGTAGTCTGATCTCCCCTGACCTTCAGCAGAAGCTTCCATGGAGGACATCATAGTGAGAGAGAAGGAGGGGGGGGGTCACTGCTGGTTGGGTCCCTCTAGCAGTGTAGTCTGATCTCGCCTGACCTTCAGCAGAAGCTTCCATGGAGTTCATCATGGTGAGAGAGAAGGAGGGGGGTCACTGCTGGTTGGGTCCCTCCTAGCAGTGTAGTCTGATCTTCCCTGACCAGTCCAAAGCCTCATTGCTGAAGACCATGTGGAAATCTTCTGAACAGTCAAAGACCTCACAGCTAAAGACCATAAGGCAATCTTCTGAACAGTCAAAGACCTCACAGCTGTGGACTATGTGGCAATCTTCTGAACAGTCTAAGACCTCACAGCTGAAGACCATGAGGCAATGTCCTGAACAGTCAAAGACCTCACAGCTGAAGACCATGAGGCAAGTCTTTTTTGGCATCTGGTTACCTTGAGCCAATGAACAACTACTGGAACCCAGTGCAACTTTCAAGACACTACACATTAACAGGGATCAATCTAGGGTCTTTACTCACAAGTCCTCAAGTCTCAGGACCTGCATCACCTGCTGGTGTCACTGTGCTTCTCAGAGTGGAATGTTGTAGTTTCTGTTTCCACCAGCAGGTGTTTCCCGACAGTTAGCAGATCCCAGTAATCAGTTTCCTCCTGATTCTGGCTGCTGGGAGGGTATTTAGGTCCTTTCTTACTATTGTCTCTTGCTCCAGTGTTTTGCTGCAGCCAAATTTTGTTTGCCATTGATCCTGATCTTGCTCCTGCCCTCTACCCTGCTGCCTTGTTTCATGCTCCCCCTTGTTCCTGATCCCAGTTTTGGTCCCCCCCCCCCCCCCCACCATCTGCTCACGTCACCCCCAGTTTTCCCTGCTTTTCTGTGTTCCTCATTTATGTATACACTCACCGGCCTGTTTATTAGGTACACCTGTTTAACTGGTTGGTAACACAAATTGCCAATCACATGGCAGCAACTAAATGCATTTAGCTATCTATACGTGGTGAAGACGATTTGCTGAAGTTCAAACCGAGCAACAGAATGGGGAAAAAAGGGGACTTAAGTGACTTTGAATGTGGTGTGGTAGTTGGGGCCAGACGGGCTGGTCTGAGTATTTCAAACACTGCTGATCTTCTGGCATTTTCCCGCACAACCATCTCTAGGGTTTGCAGAGAATGTTCTGAAAAATAGAAAATATCCAGTGAGTGGTGGTTGTGTGGAGAAAAATGCCTTGTTGAGGTCAGAGGAGAATGGGCAGACTGGTTCGAGGATAATAGAAAGGCAACAGGAACTCCAATAACCACACGTTACACCCAAGGTATACAGAACACCATCTCTGAGCACACAACACATCCAACCTTGAATCAGATGGGTACAGCAGCAGAAGACCACCGGGTGCTACTCCTGTCAGCTAAAAACAGGAAACGGAGGCTACAATTCACACAGGCTCACCAAAATTGGACAATAGAAGATTGGAAAAAACGTTGCCTGGTCTGATGTGTCTGGATTTCAGCTGCAACATTCAGATGGTAGGGTCAGAATATGGCGTAAACAACATGAAAGCATGGATCCATCCTGCCTTGTATCAATGGTTCCGGCTGGTGGTGATGGTGTCATGGTGTGGTGGTGGATCCATCCTGCCTTGTATCAATGGTTCAGGCTGGTGGTGGTGGTGTCATGGTGTGGTGGATCCATCCTGCCTTGTATCCACGGTTCAGGCTGGTGGTGGTGCTGTTATGGTGTGGTGGATCCATCCTGCATTGTATCAATGGTTCAGGCTGGTCGTGGTGGTGGTGTTGTGGATCCATCCTGCCTTGTATCAATGGTTCAGGCTGGTGGTGGGTGGAGGTGTATCAAAGGTTCAAGTGGTGTGGTGGATCCATCCTGCCTTGTATCAAAGGTTCAAGGTGGTGGTGTCATGGTGTGGTGGATCCATCCTGCCTGTATCAAAGGTTCAGGCTGGTGGTGTCATGGTGTGGGGGACATTTTCTTGGCACACTTTGGGCCCCTTAGCAGCAAATGAGTATCGTTTAAATTCCTCGGCCTACCTGAGTATTATTGCTTACCATGTCCATCCCTTTATGACTCCAGTGTCCCCATCTTCTGATGGCTCCTTCCAGCAGGATAATGCTCCATGTCAAAAAGCTCAAATCATCTCCAACTGGTTTCTGGAAGATGACAATGAGGTCACTGGACTCCAATGGCCTCCACAGTCACCAGATCTCCATCCAATAGAGCACCTTTAGGATGTGGGGGAACAGGAGATTCCCATCATGGATGTGCAGCCGACAAATCTGCAGCAGCTGCGTGATGCTATTATGTCAATATGGAGCAAAATCTCTGAGGAATGTTTCCAACACCTTGTTGGATCTATGCCATGAAGAATGAAGGCAAACCAAACGGAGTCCAGCCCGGGACTAGCAAGGTGCACCTGATAAAGTGGTCTGTGAGTGTATATAGTTAGTTGTTAGGCTTTCTGTTTGTTAGGTTGATTAGTCAGGTGTCAGTGGGTTTTTGGTTCACTCATATCTTGGATTGCTTGGTGTTGGTGTTTGGATGGATTTTGTTGCACTGTAAATAAATCTCACTTAAAGCTTACACAGTCTGGTCCCAGTTTCCTGAGTGTAGCCACGCAGATCTGTCTGTCCTTGTTGCTGATTCCCGACACCAGGACCGCTGCCATGCTGTATTGTCTCCTTTTTATATTGTAAAGCACTGAGCAAACTGTTGACGCTGTATAATAATAATAATAATGTTCCAGCTACCTCTGGACCACAGTCCAGTGATTGAATCAATCCTTCTCCAGACCAGATCCCTTACGGTGAGTGATAGGAATCAGCCTCTGTCTGTAGCCCCCTGTCCTCGTTATTTTCACCCTCAGGCCTGGGAGAAATAAAGCTCCGGACACCGAAGGGTGCAAGCTAAATCTCTGAAAGTTTAATGCAAAACAAGAACGGTTATACAGAACTCAGTAGGCGAGGCTTTATCTTGGGATGACCAATGAAACATTCCATTCTTATCAATATAGTTACGTGAAGAACAGAAACTGCAAATAGTTGAGGGATACCATATAAGATAGTTCCGTTTCATCAGAAATGGAGGCCTTATACAACATGGATGACCGTTAATAAGGCGTCTCTCCTTGCAGTGAGGTCCTGCAACCAGCTTCTAGAAAGATCTATTCAGGCCCTCAGCCTTGACACCGCTGAGAGACCTCAGGAACAGCTACACAGTCCATGGGCTGTCTAAGGGCAGTAGCATCTCAGGCTTTGGAACCTCCCTGGGAAGTGAGAACCCAGATCTCCAGAGTTTGACTATTTATAACCTTTCTAGGCCCCTTCTGGGCACTCCCCTCAAGAGATTGGCTGGAACATGAAATTCAGACGTTATTTGAGCCTCCCGTCCTAAGCTCTAGAAGCTTCTTCCAGAGGCAGGAGGAAGCAATCAAACTTCCAGACAGTGAAACTCTGAACAGACAAGGACAAATGATCAATGCTCCTTTGATTACAGAAGGGGGATTGTTTTTGCCTTCCTCTGGATCAACTGTGGGTATAGGACAGTATGTATGAAGGATTTTTTTTTTTTTTTTATTGCTTGAACTAGATGGACTATTGTCTTTTCTCAACCTTACTATCTTACTCATTTTAATATCACATCTAACACAGAGAAACCCCCCTCCATCTTTTCTGTGTCCCGTATCCCTCTAAACAAGAGGATCAGCATGAAAACCAACAGCCCAGTCTTGGGAGGAGCCAAGCCATGTTTCTGGAACACCAACTCCATTCTCATCACTGAAACCAGTTTGGTGTTCCCAGCTTGTCGTTGTTGGAACAGCCAACTCTCCCCCTTCTCATAGACCTCAGGACATCTGTAGTATACTCCATTGATAAGTCCATAGACCCATCTATATCATTCCTCCCATAATTCCACCTCCAACCACAAGGTCATCTCTTTCTTCCTCACTTTCAGATCACATCTAACATAGAGAAACCCCCATCTATCATTCCTCCCATAATTCCTCCTCCTCCGCACCATCACCTTGTTGGAACAGCCGACTCTCCCCCTTCTCATAG